TTCACCTCCTGCTAAGTTCTTCCAGGATCTTGATCCCACTTCTTGAAAATTGTAGGCTCATTCTTATCTGCAGCTAATAAGAGTGTAACAATTTTGGCAGTGGAAGCTGAACCAGTTGATATTGGTTATAGTGTCTGCACTTAATCATTGGTTCTCTTTAATTAGAGCATGAACAAGATTTTTTGCTTTCAAAGTTATGTGGATGGTCTGCTATTACAGGCCTTATCATCAATATTGTCTCATCCTTTTATCCATTATTAAACTTCTTATTTCTTCAAGACATGCCCCCTGTAAATTTTTTGAAAAGCATTCATAATTTCACCAATCTTTTATCCAAGCTTCACCATACATTGATGTTTGGCCCAGTGAAAGAACATTCTGATCTGCAGCTAACCTGGGTGTAAATGTGTTAGCTAGCACTCATTAAATGGAAAGTTTGCTCAGCTTTAATTTTTCAGTCAGAACTGTGTAAACTGAATGAAATATAACTTTAATTTTTCAGTCAGAACTGTGTATACTGAATGAAATAATAACTTTAATTTTTCAGTCAGAAATGTGTAAACTGGATGAAATAATAACTATGTTCGTGGTTTTGGCTTTTTCCCCTGGTGTTGGTTGTTGTTTCTTTTCAAGATTGTGTTCTCACAAATTGATAGGGATGGTCTGATGCTACAGAATTCATCTTTAAGATTGTCTCCCTTCTTCTTAAAAGAACTGCTGATTTATTTGGGACACTGTTCCTGTATTCATAAATCATCAGTGATTCCAACATTCTTCCACCCAAGTTTCACCATGTCTTTGATATTCTTGCTTCAGCTTTACAAAATTCATGTTCTTATGGGAGTAGTTTTCAGAAATAATGTCATGTCCTTCTTAATGCCTGAAACTAGATCCTGTTCAGATGCATTATGACAAATTAGTATGGGTTTATTTTGGTGCAAACATTTTTGAAATCTCTGCAGTCCATCGTTATATACATTTTTGTTCCTTTTTGAAGGTCCCTTGCATAATCTGCATGAACTATTGCAGAGCCTCTTGCTTCCCCAGATTTCAATGGTTTGACATTATGTGTTTATATCTGTCTTTTCTACAGAGAAAACATGTAGTAGTATGTGTTTACCCTGCATCTCCACCCCTATGATTTGGTACATATATGCAGCATAGTTCTTTTTACAGTTGGAAAAAATGAGTTTTATCGCTAACAGTATTATAGACTGACTTGTAAAATTAAGTTGTGAGCTTTCAGTTTTGTTTCATTGTGTGTGATAACCCGATTTCTCCAGTAGGCCTATGAGTTGACCATTGGGGCTGAGTACATACCAGAATAGGCTGTTACAGGCATTCAAATGGGCTCTTACAGGCTTGGTGTTCCTGGCAGTGCAGGACGTAACCTATAATTGGAATAAGAAAAACAATGGTCGTGGAATAGGGAATCTAGGCATCATTTAGCTATGTTTGATAATGTGATGACTTTGTCTCTAGAAAGGCATTTCAGCATTATTTCTTCCACTTGTTTCACTTTCCACAGTTACTATACATGATCTTCTTCTAAGCCCAAGTAGGAAGTAGGTTTATACCTGCAAGAAAATTTCCCAGGGTTAATTCTTGGTCATTGCTAGTTTGCACCAAAATTTCTAGTTTTTAAGTCAATTAAAAGATTGTTAGAACTTGGTCATGTGAAATTATTTTTTTAATTAGGAAAAATTGTATCAATTAATAATGAAGTCTAAATTTACTGCAAGAGATCATTTGTATCCAGATCACTATGGGGGATGATTCATCACCAGCTTCTTTAAAAACGTCTGGTATGAGTTACATTGCTACTTCAAAGACGTGTTAATACATGCGGAGGGGGGGCAGAAAGGCATGTTAGAAGTCTTTCCTTCCCTGCTTCCATTCCCGTGCCCACCAGCCAGCTTTGTTTTCTTCATACCAACATCTAGGTCAAGGCCCTTGGAGAATAGGAAAAGGAAACAAAAATTAACAAAGGATCTCTAAAAGTGAAATAATTTCAAAGGGCACTACATTTGATTTTCTTATTAAGGCATCCATTCCCTCCCCTGACCCAAAGATAAATCTGTTCAGATCACAAAAGAAAAAAAATCTGTCATTTTTCATGTTGCGGGTGAGGGGAAGTTATCTTATCTGATTAGGTTGTGCTTCCTCAACTAAATAGAAGATCAGACCTCTATAAGTTTTGCTCCTAATAAATGGTCGAAGAGTTCTTAGATGAAAAAGTCTTGGGTCATGGGTGTTGATTCATGTGAAAGTCCATGATGTAGTTCACAAAACTTGCTCTGAAAATCATTAAACTTTTCTTTCTGATCTTGTTTGTTTTCTCCACAGAGTTATAGTGACCCTGTCGACGTTAAGCCGTCTCAACCTCCTCAGCTGATCAGCTCAAAGCCATCTGTGTTCCATGGGCCCAGCCAGGCTCATTCAGCCCTGTACCTAAGTTCCCACTATCACCCACAGCCAGGAATGAATCCTCACCTTACGGCCATGCATCCCAGCCTCCCCAGGAACATAGCACCGAAGCTGAATAACCAAATGCCAGTGACTGTGTCCATAGCGAACATGGCCGTCTCCTCCCCTCCCCCACTCCAGATCAGCCCCCCTCTTCACCAGCATCTCAACATGCAGCAACACCAGCCACTCAGCATGCAGCAGCCCCTGGGGAGTCAGCTGTCCATGCAGGTGCAGTCGGCCTTACATTCTCCAACCATGCAGCAAGTAAGTGCAATGCACCTGGCCTGGAGTCAATACCCTACATGCTGAGGTTCTCTGTTTCCAAAGAATGTTGTTGTCTTGTATAGTTGAGTTGATTCTGACCCAAGGCAACCCTATGTTGTACGGAGTAAGAACTGTTCTCTTTTACTGGATTTTCCTGGCTGTAAGCTTTATAGAAACAGATTGCCACCACATCTTTTCTTCCATGGCGCCGGACTGGGTTCAAACTGCCAATATTTTGACACAAAAAGTTAGCACCATCCTGAAAGATAGGATTTTTCTGTTCTAGCATTTCAGTGTATACCAAAAACACTGAACGTATTTTATAAATGCAGTTCTCCCTGCTGAAAAAGTGTCCTTTTTATTTAATAAGTGGGTGATGGATCTGTGTAGCATTATACAATTACAAGAATTGATGGTGTGTCCTTTAATAATCACTGATTTCTTTTCTGTGGTCTCCATTTTACCTCTCCTTCCGCACTGCCAAACTTCACTGCTATCGAGTTGATGCCAACGCATAGGGACGCTATAGGACAGGGTACACCTGCCCCGGTGGGTTTCTGAAACTGCAACCATTCATCAGCTTTCCCCAGAGGAGTGGCTGGTGAGTTCGAACTGCTGACCAGGCAGATTGCAGCCTGACTTGTAACCACTATGCCACCACGGCTCTTCACCTTCCTAATCACCTTATTTTGTTTTCTTTTCTTGAATGATGTACGCTGGCTATTTTAAGATGCCAAGTACTGCCAACTATCTTTTTGAGATAGAGAATTTTAGATTAAAAATAATAATAATGACACTGTTTGGAAAATGAGAAAATCTTTGACTGGCAGGTCTATTGAATCCAATAAATGCTATATAATAAAGCCAGGCTCATTTTTTCTGGTCAGAAATATTTACTTTGGTGAAGCTCCAAAAGTCCTAAGAATGGATCATTTTAATCAAAGTTTTCCTTTAAAATAGATGTCAGCTTCCACATATACTAAAAAACTCAGAAGCTGGGCATCTCCATGCCCACACTCACATGTATTAGACTACTTCAGTGAAATCTTAGCTTGATTTATTTGAAAAACTGTTTTTTTTTTCCTTCCATTTGAATTCTGATGTTACTTTAAAATATAAAAGTTTAAGTAAATGATACAAACTATTATAGTAAATATCAGTTATTTAAAACTCATGAATACTGATTTCTAAAAACAGCTAAAGGTCAAAGCTACAAATTATATCAAATTCAGTTATCACTTATATCATCCAAGTATGCTGTGCTATTACTCCTTGAATTATGTAATTAAACATGCAGATACAGCTTCCAGGTAGTAAGTTTGCCTTGGGTGGAGTTTGAATCCAAAGCTGGAATGGAGCGGGTAGAGGAGCAGGGAAGAAGAAAGGGAATCCCAGGTCCTTTTGTCCCACCCCACCCCACCCCCATCCCCTGGTTCCTTATTATTATTATTGTCCCAGCAGGAGCCCTGGTGACATAGTGGTTATGTGTTGGGCTACTCACTGCAAGGTCAGCAGTTCAAAACCACCAGCCTCTCCTCGGAAGAAATAGGCTTTCTACGCCCATAAAAAAGTTACAGTCTAAGAAACTCACAGGGACAGTTCTGCCCTGTCCTACCGGATCTCGATGAGTCAGCATCAGCTCGATGGCAGTGAGTTTGAATGTTCTGGTTAGAAAGGGTTGTGGAACCCTGGTGGCATGGTGAGCTACATGTTCAGTTGTTCACCATGAGGTCAGTAATTCCAAGTCCTCAGTCTCTCTACAGGAGATAGATGAGGCTTTCTAGCTCCAGAAATATTTGTAGCCTTGAAAACCCCAGGGAGCAGATCTACTCTGGCTTACAGGCTCCCTGTGATTTGGAATTGATTAGATAACGAGTAGTAAATCTGGTTTTTATTGGGGGTGGTTCTTTTTTGGGGGGGGCAAGATTTCTGAATGCTGATAGAAATGAACCTATGATGCTAAGCAGTTCCGCATCTTTAATGCTCAATAAACCTGTGGTACAGTTGCTAGCATTTTCCCCATTTGACAGAAGATGAAAACAAGGCCTGACAAGATTCTGCAGTCTCCTCCAAGCTCAGATCTCGATTGCAAAGTGGGGTCTGCTAAAAAATCAGAGCCTGAAGTCTTCAGTATCCGGCCTGCTGCCTCTTACTTTCAGTCATTCCTGTAGAAAATTACGTGTTTCTTATTAGAAGATACAGATTTTTCTAAGAACGTAGAGAGGCTTTAAATCCTAGTTAAGGAATCCTGGTGGCACAGTGAGTTACTAATTGGGCTACCCATTTAACAGCTGTCTCCTAGAAAAAAATCAGGCTGTCTGCTCCTATGAAGATTAACAGTCTCAGAAGTTCTAGGGAGCAGGTCTACTCTGTCCTATGGGGATGTGAGTCAGAAAGGACACCATGGTAGTGAGTTTGGTTTTTGTTGTTATTGTTTTAACTAACTCCTAGTTAGTTCTAAAATCAAAATTGTTAGGTCTCACCCAGGGTACAAGGCTCTTTACTAAAGATTTCCTAGTTTCCAAAGCCAAGGATATTGATGAAACTCTGACCACTTATTTGCCTACTTCCAATAAAGTGGTGCTACTCATTGGGGAAGAAGACGGTGAGAGAGGACAGACTCCCCAGTGTCCACTCTAACAGTTTGTCTCCTCTTACATGTGGACCAACAGTGTCTCCATAAAAACGGAACAATGTAAGGGACATGCCTACAGTTGTATAGGTTGCTCCTATTTTAAGGGCCCTACTTCTCTGAGAAGCAGTGTTCTAATGTGGTCTACTTGTCCCCAGAAGAGAGGATAGCTTTCATGCAGCCCCGTCCCCGAGCTGTGGGCTGGAAAGTGGCATCTCTCAAAGGAAAGCCACTTTTCTAATGACCCACTCAAATAGAGCCTTTGTCTATTTATTCTAAGATTTGGAATGAGCTGGCTATGAACCTGAATATTTTTCATATAGTTCAGAATTCTCTAGGGCCACAGGTGAAAAATCCAAGTTTGTATTTTCCACATAGAATCTTTATTGAATAAGAAAAATGAGAACAGATAGCATTGGCCAAGTTATTTACCCTTCTTGAAGCCATTTCTGTGGTTACATCAACAAAGAGTTCTCTTACAGAATAGCTGGAAGGACTTGATTTCAGCTTACATGAAGACAGGATGGCACAAACCCAAGTGGAGAATAAATAGCTACAAAGATTATTGGCTGAAATCACTTTGAATAGTTCCTTGATCATGGATGGTAGTCAGTGAGGCATTGTTGAATAAATGAATAAATTAGTAATTTAAGAAACAAAGGAGTTGGGAAAGTGTTTAATATTAGAAGAAGGGTATTTTATAGACTCTCAATTCCTTGGAAACTTATATGATTCATTCAAAACATAGTAATTGAGCCCCTAACGTGCGCAGACACAACGTAGACTCTTTTGGAGTTTATTGACAAAGGCATTGCTCTATAAAGCTCACATGGGGAGTGGGTTAGATAAATAGAAAAACACAAGTAATCCCTGCCTTGTGACAGGGTTCTCTTAAATTCTGACGTATTGCAAATACCTCTTTCTTTTTCTTTCAGTTTTAATTATTATTGCCTTTAATTACCAATAATTTAATAAAATCATGCCTTTATTTGTTCTCTGCTGTTGGCATCAGCAAATTACCTGCTGCAACACTGTATACGCTACATTTTGCTAATGATGCTTGGGTAAGGTGACATTGAGTTGCTTCAAACAACAACCTAAAATACCGCCCAGCCCTGCACACCTCACAATTGTGATATTTGAGCTCATTGTTGGAGCCACTGATCATTCTGTGTGGTTGAAGATCGTTTTCTTTTTCGATGATCTCTACCAAGCATGATGTTGTTTTCCATGGACTTGGCAATATGTATAGATGATGTGAAATGAAGTCTTGCCATCCTTGCTTTTTAGGAGCATTCTGGCTATCCTTCATTTGAGACAAATATATTTATTCTGCTAGTAATCCATAGTACTTTAAATCTTCTTCACAACACCATAATTCATATGTATCAATTCTTCTGTGGTTTTCTTTAGTCATTGGCCCGCTTTTACATGTCGATGATGACAGTTGAAAATGTCATGACTTGGTTCACATGTACCTTAATCCTCAGAGGGACCTCTTTGCTCTGTGACATTTTAAAGATGTCTTTTGTAGCAAACTTGATCAATGCAATACTTTATTTGATTTCTTTCTTTTTAGTCAAGGATTTCACTTTATTTGGATCCGCAATCAAAGTCCATGGAAGAAATCAAATAAAGTATTATTTTATTTTGGGGGGCAAATTGTTTTATTTCATTGGGCAAATCTGCTACAAAAATTTCTTTAACGTATCAAAAAGCAAAGATAGCATGCTAAAGATTAAGGTGCACCTGATCAAAGCCATGGAAATTTTTTCTCTTCCTTTTTTTTTATTATTTAGGATAATACATATCACATATCGTTCCATATTTCAATCACATCAAGTAGAATTGTGCAATTGCTACCATAATCCATTTCTAATCATCCTATTTCTGCATGCCCTCCTTGACATTGTCTCCCTTATACCCCACCTTCACCCTCATGTGATTTCTTGATTGTAGATCTAAGTAAAATGAAATCATTGACAACTTCACTTTCTCTCCATTTATCATGATGCCTTTTGGACCAATTGCAATGACTTTGGGTTTTTTTACATTGACTTGATCCCCATTAAAGGCTATAGTCTCAACAGTAAGTGCTTCAGTCCTCCTTGCTATCGGCAAACCAAGTTGCATCATCTGATATCAAAAGTTGTTTAAAAAGCATTCCTTCCATCCTGATGCTGTGTGTTTCTTAAGATAGCTCAGGTCCTCACATTATTTGTTTATCATACAGACTCAATAAGTATGGTGAAAGAACACAACCCGCATTTTAAGCCAGGCAGTGTTCCTTTGACAACTGCCTCATGGTCTATGTAGAGCTTTCTCATAAGCACAGTGAAGTGTTCTGGAATTCTCATTTTCTCAATGT